AAATGATCATGAATGGCAATAAATTATATATATTAAAAATGTAAATTATTAACTAAATGTTTATATATAAAACTTAAAGATGACAAGTAAACATAGATAGGAAAAAATGAAAAAAAAAAAAACCATAATTAAAAAAAATATTGGATTAATCGAATGGATATGAATCGGATCAAATAAAAACTGATCCAATTGGATTCGAACCAAATAAAAACTGATCTGATTGGATTCGGATCAGTTTTACCTAAAATCCGATTCGATTCAATCCATTGTGATTCCTAAATAACACTACACTAATTTACTATAAGTAATTGATAAAAACCTGGATCAGGGTACTTGGGTCATAAAAACATAATAAACATATAAGAGTAGTAGAATTTGTGTAAATATATGTACAAATCAACTTCATAAAAAGGCCAATAAGTTCAATATAACTGGGCCTCTGTCAATCCTTACAAAAAAAAAAAATCATTAAAATCAATGTTATACTATTATTCTTCACTATTTATTTAACTAATATTGAATTAATAGCATCTTATCACACAATTCGTAAGAATTATTCGTTTGAATATGCAATTTTCCAATTATTTCGATTATAGTATCCCCCTCAAAAAAAAAAATTTTTTTTTTTTGCAAACCGTCTAGGTAAAAATTGCATTACGAATATATCTGTAATTACACAATTAAATAAGCCTTGGAAGATGGTTGTATATCACTTTCATAGAATGCAATATATTAATTCGAAGCCCTAAAAAGCATATTATAATCATCCTCGCGTTAGCTAAGACTGGAATTCTGAACACAATAATTGTAGAAGCCTAAAAGTCGAAAGTAGAGGGATACTCGAATTTATCATTGACTTAATCAGTAAAATGTATTGACTTTCCCAGAGGCACATCGTCTGTTTTCAATAATCTTCCATCTCGTTCACGAATGACGATGCCGGGGTTCTAAGTAATTAATTGTATTAGCAAAGTTTCCCCATTTAATAATTATAGAGAACGAATTACCTTTCCGACATTTTTAAATTTAAATGCAAATCTTTTATTTGTGAATTCTTTATCATGCCTAATTTCTACGGTATTCTGTGGCTGTTTTATTTTTTCTTCTAACGTGAATGGTCGAAGTAATTCCTCCTTCAACTTTCGTTCTTCTAATAACGCTAGGGGTGGACGTTTTAAAATTTTTGCTGCGTCCTACATGATTATAGGCACTATCAGGTTAAGATTAAAGATTATTTTTTTCAATAAAGACATTGCATCAGTCATCAATGCCTTACTTCAGGTTTAAAAGCCTCGCCTTCGTCTGCTAAATGAAATTTTGGCCTTCCCACTTGCGGATAAGTATCACTTGGTTTCTCTGATAGAATTGATCTCGCGCCTAACATTTTTTCCATATGAGTTGTAAAATTTTTTTGAATTGTCATACCCTGTTAGAACAGATAAAAAGATCATTAAATTAATGGAAACTGTAAAGTGTGCGATACTATGTATTGTGTATTCACTTTTAAAGAAATAAATAACGTTGTTCATATAGGCTCAGTTAAGTATAGTAAGGTATAACCATATTTGATGGTCTTCAAGACTAATCGATCTTAGCATCATAGTCGATATACTCCCAACTTGGGATGAATTAGTATATATACGAGACTTGATTTATTTAATTACCTGGGCAATCATGTCTCGTTCCAATTTTTTCAGCTTCAGTATGGCTTCGACTCTTTTAAGTGAAATTCCCATTTTCGTCCCAATTTCCCTTGTGTTATTTCCTTGCACAAACATACTCCATACCATTTCCTTAAAGTTATCTGAAAGTGGTGGTTGAGCTTTAAAATAAGGATTCATCGGAAACGGCTACTAATAGAGGAAAAATTGTATTTAGAATTTGATTGTGCAATGAATGTACTGAAATCAGACATTGCAAAAACTCACACAAGTGGTAGAACCCAAATAATTAGTTCCACTATATTTTGGCGTCTCATAAAGTTTTCCATCTTGCGCAAGAAATTGTTTGAATAGAAACCTTCTTATTCGTCGCCTTACTTGCGTCGTCACACTATCGCTAGAATCGGTTTCTTTTGCTTTGTCATTTTCATTTTTCTCATAGACCTTTGTTGTCGATGGATTAGATGTTTCCCTCACGGTAAAAGCTTGTGACGTGGAGTGATAGAAATAGTGCGAGCATGTTCCTAGAGGCCTTTGAAAACTCTGTGAATATGTTTTGCCAAAAGTCGCAAATGACAAGAGCATATCGTATATCTGTTTTGATGAATAACATCTGATCTTTATTACAAATAGTGGTTATCAGAAAAAATTTAATATTTGAAAGGTTTAAAATCATCCCTAATCTTAAGGAAACCGGCAATAGCTCAGTTGGTAGAGCGGGAGACTGTAGTTTGGCTGTTATCTCTAGGTCGCTAGTTCAAATCTGGCTTGCCGGACTAAGTTTTTATTCTTTTAAACACAAATTGCTTCTGAGTCATGTGAGCGAGTCTTTTAAAATAGACAACCAATAAAAATTGTGAACAGTCCGTCAAAAAAAATATCTCACGGATCTTTATGGTAAGAAAACATTCAACAACGTACTGTATATGGATCTGTGCTTCTAGTTAAGATTGCAAGGCTTGGTGTCACTTCGGAAGTATTTTTTTTCTATAGAAATTGTTCAAAGAGAGACAATTTGTGACAGACGAAATAAGCAATGATGCACTCAATTATACTGTAAGTTCCAAAACAAAACACAAGATTAGATGCAATAATCTAAATAACATTAATATTACTTCCGTTCGTTCTGTAATTGTTTCTGCCAAGTTTTAATAGTGCCTTTTTGGTCAGTTATTAAATGTATGGATAAAATGTTATAACTAGCGATGAGACTTCCGAAATTATTAGTTAATAATAAATAGTTAATAATAATTAATAGTTTTTTATTTTTATTTTTATTTTTTTTAAATCTGTGGTCAGGCCAGCATAATGTGTTTATTAATCTTTAAAAAAACCAATAGAGATACATTGGACAATTATATTATGGCTAAATTAAATCTCATGTTGACTCACTCATGAACAGCTTTCAATTCTTAAATAAGCTTAAGCCCCTAAGTATGATCTTGGAAACAATATTTCACTTTGGAATAAGTTTTAAATAAATACTTTTTTAATTTATCCATTATTGTTAGCAAGTTGTCACTACCTATTATCCTTCAAGAAATTGATTTCGAGAAGCTACAATAAGAAAAAGAAAAAATAAAAGAAAGGAAGATATCTAAAAATATACAAATATATATATATATATAAAATAAAATAAAATAAAAATAAAAGTATACTGTCTTTTAAAGAATCTTTATTAAAAATCTTTTTTTATTAGGAGTCAACCTTTCTAAAATATTTTCCTTCTTTCTGATTATTTAAGAAACTTATCCATTTATAACCTTGATTATTTTCTTATAACCATCTGAGATATAATACTTATTGCCTATTTGAATTCAATTTTTTTTTTTTTTTTTTTTTGAAACAATGACCCAACCTTGTTTTATAAACTTTCAAGTCAAGACAAAATTGCAAATACAAGAAATAATCACTAATAAAACATTCCTAAAGTTGTCTACAAATAGTTAAAATTTTACGCTACTACTACCACTTTGATTCTATAAGCTGGTTACTCTTCGAGGACTTCATCGGTCGAGGGTGTATTGTCTATTCCTCGGCTGCTTTCAGTATCTCCATGTAAAATTCTAACCACTCCGACCTACAAGATGGCTTGTTATTGGGAAAAATAACTTGGATCAATCTAATTCACACACTGGGAAAGAAGATTTATCGATTCTCCCAAATTCCCCTTGACATATATGCTCAGGCAAAACACGATGTCCCAAAGAAAAATTTTGAGAGAAGTGATTGTGTTCGAAGGATATGTCGGTATACAATAAGAGAATGGGAGTATCAAAACCCTCCAAAAAAATACTGTCCCAGGTGTTATTATGTTTGTTGGAGAGGAGGAGGAAAGAGAGGTCTTTATTGGCTATTCGATGAATACTATTTCAACAGTTTTCTTTTCAAGATACCACTGATTTAGGAGTTTTGCTTGTCTTGTATTCACCCGCAATCCCAGATGTAACTTATGGTGAACCACAGGTTCTTATGGAGCTGAGGAAATGCATTCAGATACGTGATGTGACCAATGGAAGCTTGTTTACTTCTTTTACTAATATGATCGCTATCTGTCTAATCACGGTATAAGAAACTTTGTGCTACTAAAAATTCAGGATCAAATTGAAGTAGGCAAAATTCCCCAGAAAAAATCAAGAACAAGCACTATGAGAAGGAACCAATTGATGAGAGAGTGGGAAAGGTATCTCTTATCAATAACAACCTTCTGTGTTGTTTCTCTACAGTATGAGATGACTGCACATTAGTTCTTCTTTCTTTCAGAACTTTTTTGCCCTTGGTAGAAAAGGTGTTTCTTGACTTTCAGATCACTAGCGATCAAGTTTTTGTTTGAAGAGAAGTATAAACAAGAAGGAAGGCAAGTAGTGATGACTCTTGAAGTTCTTTCAAGTTGATTTAAAGAAAGTATTAAGACTTTATTAACATAGAAATATGAAAACTTCTTGTGAACATCTTTTTTATGTATAGTCAAAGGATCAGTGTAAAGAGTTTTTTCGAAAAAATGCCTATTTAAATTCAATATCTTATTTATCACTTTCTTTCTTTTAATATTAATTTTATATCTATTTATATTTTAACTATAACTTATAATGAATTCCAAGTTCTTATATAACCTTTCAATCATATTATATAATTATTAATATTTTTTAGCAGTCATACCTATTTAAAAGAATTTTACTAATAAACATCTTTTATTATTCAAAAAGTTGGATTTTTCAATAGTCTTTTTATTTTGCAATGGTAAAAAGGTATTATAAAGTAATAGGAATCCTTATCAATTATAATATTAATACACAATATTTGAAGAAATACATTCCCAATCCTAGAAAAATGTAGTAATTTATAGTCTTCTACTTTTTGATTTTATTGCTTAAATAAAATAAGAAAATAAACTCCTTCATATATTTTGCTTAATTAGAATAATAAAAATTGAAAATTCCAGTTTAAATAAATAATCACCTTTTTACTATCTAAAAAATTTAGCACTTATCTTAATGATTTCATAATTTCTTTACTTCAATTATACTTTATTTGAAGAAATGAAGAATTTTATATTAATAAATTCTTTTTCTTTTACCAATAACATCATCAAAATACATAAATATAATTAATAAAATCATATCTATATTTTGTTACCAATGTATTTCATATTAATTAATTAAAAGCCAGGTAAAATTGTGCTATTAGAAATTTAAGATTAAGCTGAAATAGAAAAATTCCTCAAAATAATTGTGAAAAACAATAGCCATTCTGAATAATTAACCTTTTTCTTATTTAAAAAATCTTTATTTTTATATTACTTTCAGTTTTAAAAAATAACACTTTATCAATTAACTTTTTTACTTTTTAGAATCTTCTTGCCTTTAGTAGAAAAAGTATGTACTTAAGTCTATTTAGGTTATTAAAGGCTCAATATTTTGTTTAAAAGAGTTTATAAATAAGTAAAAAAGAATAATGGTGACTTTTAAAGATAAGTTTCAAGTTGTTTTAAAAAAAGTAAAAAAACTTTATTAGTCAAAAAATATAAAAACTTCTTGCAAATATTTTTTTTGTATATAATTAAAAAATTAGTAAAAAGAGTTTTTTTTTAATTTATAAATTATTATAATTAATAGTTTTTTATTATATTTTACTTATATGCAAATATAAAGATAGTCTTCAAAAAACTCTTTCTGCTGATCCTCTGACCACATACAAAAAAGATGTTCGCAAGAAGTTTTTATACTTTCTTGCTAATAATGTCTTATTACTTTCCTTAAAACAATTTGAAGTATGACTTCAAGAGTCACTTCTATCCTTCACTTATTGTTTACAAATCTCTTTACTCAAAAACTTGACTTCTAGTAATCAAGAAAAGTCAAGTAGTACCTTTAATACCAATGGCAAAAAAGTTCTCAAAGAAAGAAGAACTGACTGTGAAGTATCTAAAAATCTTTCTAACCTTTGAAGCAAGAGACTTATAGAGATTTTTTGTAGTAAAAAGACTTATTTTCTTCCTTTTTGATTGTCTTGATCCTCTTAGAGCTTCTATGTTTATGGTTTTTTAAAGAATTTTATCTATTTCAGTTTGACCTTGAATTTTGAGTAATACAAATTCTCACCAAAGATGATTGGCTAACATGAAACACATCAGTTTTTAAAATGTAAACAAGCCTCTATTGATCACACTTACATGTCTCGATATATTATTGGTGATATAGAAAAGAAAGTTTTAAAAAAAGTGTCCCTTCTAATTGTGTAGGTTCAATTTCTAGGAAACAATTATAATACTGAAAGGTGAGTAACGAGTAGAAATAGAAGATCCAACTCCCATCTCTCATTAAGTTTCTCAGGTAGTAAAAAGACTTTCTTGAACAAAAGTAGAGGTCTCTAAGCTTCTATTCTAATCAGACAAAGTTCTTGAAAAGATTTTTTTATTCTGGTCAGGCAAGCTCTTTTGTAATATAGTATTGACTTTATTAGTGATAAGTGAATCCGTACATCAGCAAAAGGATAAGTTTCTCATATATTCTTTTTGAAATTATTTTCAAGAATGGCTAAGTTTCTCAAATGTCATGAAGCTTAATGAATATTACAATCAGGCAAGTCTCTTTTGAGAGGAAACTATGAAATAAAGCAAGAATCTTTTAGAGGACTTTGAATTATATTCCCCCTTCTCTTTTTTTCAGTGCCAACTTTAGCAATTCATCATTTTTCAGGATAATTGATAGTAGTGATCACAATGAATTGAATTGAATCAGATTTTAACTAGATTCGATTCGATTCGATTTTTATGAATATGAATTGGATATGAATCTGATTCATTTTAAACTGATCCGATCCGATTCGAAACCATAACAGTTTGATTCGATCCAATTTGAATTCGAATTTGTTTTGATTCGATTCGATCCGAATCCAATTCAAATCCGAATCCAATCTGAATCTGATCCGATCCGCATCCAAATCCAAATCAGATTCAATGCAAAAACAACTTGAAGCATGTTCCACTATAACTGCTTTAATTTAACTAAATTAAATTAAATAT